GACCCTTTCACAGGGGTCGCCTAAGACCATCCTCCTGCATATATATTTACATTATGATTCATAACAGTAGCAACATTACAGTTATGAAGTAGCAACGAAAATAATTTTATGGTTGGGTCACAACATGAGGAACTGTATTTAAAGGGCCAGAAGGCTGAGAACCACTGCTTTAGAGCATAACTGAGGGAAGCCACGCAACCAGCCTCTTGTAGAACCACGGAATCCGCCTGCTTACATGGAAACCCCGCATCTTCACTCGGATGCGGAGGGAACATGCATCACCTCCGAGGGTGCGAGCTCAGCCATTTTCTCAGAAAGCATCAGACTCGTGCCCTGAAACACACCTTTATTATTTTAAAATGTGTGTTTACTGACTTCAGAGAGGAAGGGGGAGAGAGACATCAATGAGCGAGAATCACTGGTCGGCCGCCTCCTGCACGCTCCCTCCTGGGATTGAGCCCACAACCCGGGCCTGTGCCCTGACCAGGAATCGAACCTGGGACCCTTCAGTGCGGAGGCTGACGCTTAATCCACTGAGCCAAACCGGCTGGGGCTGAGGCACGTCTTTATTTCAGTGGAGTTTCTGCCTGGAGGGAACTGAGTGTGGGCTTTGCCATGCCAGCTGTGTGCCGGTGACAGGGTGAGAGCGCCGGCTGCCTCCAGCACTGAGAGAGGGGCCGGGCTGGTCCCTGAGAGCCCGGGGCCCACCGAGGGGCAGCGGCTGGTCCGTTCTTGCCCACTGTTGCCCATGTGGGCCCATATTTTAAAAAGCCAGAGACTCATCCGGATCTTTGTGGGAATTCCCCACAAGTGAAATGTCAGCTAGTTCAGGTTGAACATAAAGCAGCCCTCGGCGGTCAGCGTGTGGGCCCATATTTTAAAAAGCCAGAGACTCATCCAGATCTTTGTGGGAATTCCCCACAAGTGAAATGTCAGCCAGTTCAGGTTGAACATAAAGCAGCCCTCGGCGGTCAGCTGTGGCGCTCGGGCCCTGCTTCGGGTATGTGTGCTGTGGCCTCAGGCAGCAGAGCACCCCCACCCCCCCCCCGCGCC